GAAAGAGCATCTCCTCTTTCAAAATGTAGTCATTCGACGTGTGTTGCGCATGGGGACATAAACAGGTTAAAAACGCACTTTGTGAGGATTAAAAGCAGCGATGAATCAGTTAAGAAAGAAAAAAGTCCAAAAATAGACCTTAATGTAGTCTGGGTTAAGGACTAAAGGAGAAAACTCTTGCTAAGGGGCTTAAGGCTCTGCTAGTCCGCGTGTCTCCCTGAAAACGCAAAGCTCACGCTCACATCCTTGGGATACCTTCAGCCAGGTTGGCAACCCGGCCCAGAAGGTGCTTTGACCTACCCCAACAGGCCAAGTTGGTTGTGGGAACAACCTAAAAATAGACACTTTTAGAGGGTTTTATTTCTGGTGATTAGATTTGGCTCTTTTTTTTTTTTTTTTTTGTAAATGGCAAACGCGCTCTTGACAGATGGAACCAAAAGGAACTTTTACAAAACGCCTAAAAATAGGGAAGCCCATAATATACTGAATATATGTCACGCAACGCACGCATCTCGAGTTAACTCCTGTGCTCGCAAGAAGGAGCGTACAGGTCCCCAACCTTTTGCTGCCACCCCCTCCACGCCACCGCCACGCCGGCTGCTTCTGCTGCCCAGAAAAGTGTCCGGCAGAGGCGAAACCATTAGTTTGACCACAGCGTTGCCACTCCTCACATGAGGCTTGGGAAGAAAAGCCTTCCAAATAACAGCATTTTGAACTTAAATGTAGTTGGAAAGAGGCAGGATATTCCCTGTCTTTGTCTTCTCTTCCCTTTTGGTCATTCGGGATCACGCTTTTTGACTTCTTCCCTACGCGGGAAGGCTAAAACCGTGATTACACAAGTTGTATATGCAGACGTAGGTGTGCTTAAACAACTGCGATTCCCCCATAATCTCAACCTTCAGAGGGCTTCGAGCAAACAAGATGTAAAGCACGGCTCAGCGAGACCACCCCTACCCTTCCCGCATCCCCCGTTCCTCCAAAAAAAAAAAAAAAAAAAAGGCCATTTCCATAGGTGGCAAGTGGCCTGAAAGCAAGTCTCGGTAACAGAGAACCCCCTGGACAGGGTCACCTTCCCAAAACTCCTTTCCCAAACTTGACCCGAGAGTTCCAGTTAGCAAATTCCCACTTTTTTTTTTTTTTACTTTTGCCCGAAGTTTTCATGCAATGAGCCTTCTTCACGAAACACATCTATCAAGCCCCAGCAGCAACTCCAGCCTCAATAAACCTTACTCTAGGACGTGGGTCAACGTTTCAGAACCGGCTAAAGCCTCGTTGACAAGTCTTTCTATGGCTATTTAACAGGATCCGAGCTCTAAAATCACTCACGCCTCCCCAAAACCCTTCCTGACCGCGGTTATAGCGTGCACCTTGCTAGCAGCAGACCAGGACGGCGATAATAAAACATCAAATACGACTGGTGCTCCGGCCTAATAAAATGCCGCGTTTAGGAGCAAATGAAGCCCACAAAACCTTCGAAAGTACACCAAGAACCGAGCGGCTCGATTTCCAAAGCGCCCAAGAGGTTTAGGCGCACGCCGGCAAGTTTCCCCGCAGATGTTCTGCCCACGCACATAGACACCTTAAACACGCGCGCACCCGTCTAATAAAAGAACGGCCCCATCCAAGTAGAAAAATAAAAAAAGCCTCCTCCAAACATCACGGTTTAGTTCAAAGTCTACTTTTGCAGCAGCTTTTTCCCCCTTCAAAAAAAAACCCAACAAAACCCAGTGGATTTGAAAGTTCACCCCGAAAGCAAGGGGCTCTAACCAACACGTTGACACCGCTTCAACTCCCGCATTGCGAACAGCACCGCTAGAACGTATATACGTATACGTACTTGAAAGAAAAAAGGCCCCCTGAATTTATGTTGCATATCATTTTCCAGTAAAAGTCAGAGGTCAGAAGGTTACCAGTTTCTGCCTCAGCTCTGCAACAGTTTACTATTCCAGGCCCCATTTTTACTAGGCTACACTCGCGATGAAGTCAGCAACTTTTCTTTAAACAATAAAGCATCTCAAATACTTAAAATTCTATAAAGAGATGTTGTTCGCCGTGTTCGTTAGGGCCGTGTGTATAAAAAAATTAGAATATACTGGTTTGGTTTAAAAACTAATCTTGTTAACGGCAGACTTTGCAGTGCTAATCAGTACCGCTCAACCTTTTTTGGGAAACACAATTCCTTTCTTGTCTAACAGAACTTGAATGAAACATGATCATAAAACCCGATTTAAAAGTATATACCTATTGCGAGTTCAGAGTCAACTTCAATAAAGCGCTCTCTTTTATATTCAGATTAAGGATCCTTTTTAAATTTTAATTGCATTAAATTAACACTAAACCCACCGCAGTTGGTCTCTTCAGCAAAAGTACGAAGCGTTTAAACGACTTCTCGGAAAAAAAAACAGAATTTCAGCTTTTTAGACCTCAGAGCTTCTGAGACGGCGCTAATTATTTGTAGTATGGCCCACTTCCATTGCGCCAAGCTCGTTTCATACTCGTCCTGCCCAATCGGTTACTCAGGCACTCGAACAAAACATTTTTGCATTCCAGTAACTTGGAATTGAGTAAAAATAAAAAATAAAGAAAGAAAAGCACTGCTCAGGATTTCGTAAAACAGGCCAGCCAGCATCTCTTCTTTATACGCAGAGAAGTTTTCGATGGCATCTTTGAAACATCAGCGTGCGTTTCTGCAATCTTAATTACGTTCGCTTTTGAAGATTTCATCTTTTAACCCATTTGAACGAGGGGGGGGGAGGGGGCCACAACAAAAAAAGAACCCCCAACCCTTCTCATTGCTTATTTTTATTAAGCGTACTGCAAATTTGGTACATATGTTGCTCTAACGTGTGCCTGCTGGCAGGGTCGAAGAAATAAAGATGCCAATCCTTTTACCGGGAGGAGATGGGGGCAAAATAAAAAAACAAAAAAGTGTCAAAAAAAGGAAGACAGCCCTTTCTCGGCACACCCCCCCACCCCCGGGTACCTGAGCACATTGCAACATCGCAGAGCGAGTGACCGGTCCCCGAGCGCATCGGTGACCGCTCGCCGGCTAAGAAAGCGGGAGGGCTCCGTTCCTACCTTGCTCACTGCTGTTGTCCCCGCTGTGCGATGTGTGTCCCCCGCTGGAGGGTCCGGGGGTTCCCCCGGAGCGCGTCGACGCCGTATCATCGTGGTCTCTGTTCCAGGAGGG